ACTGCAGCAAAACAACTAACACACACACACACACACACACACACAACCCCAAATCAGGTTGCCACATCTTTTTATGCTATATATATATATATATATATATATATATATATATATATATATATATATATATATATATATATATATGATAACACGCTAGTATAATAGATAGGGAAAAATCTAGAAGCCTGTCTAAGTGACACACTTAGGATCTCAAGATAGGATTCATGGCGTTATGGGGAGACTACATTTGGGCAACAGATTTGGTTTGGTCTCTATCCTTTGTTCTTCAGTCAAGCCAGAGCCATAAGGAGAACAAAAGCAACTTGCATTCAACTTTATTTCCCCATTTGGATGTGTAGGCAAGAAACTGTTTTGGCAAACCTGGATTTTGGTGTTACTTATAGGAAGAGCAGCTAAGTGGTGTGTGTTTCCCTTTAGGATCTGAGCTCCTACTTCACAATGATGTGTAAGAGGACAGAACACAGTGGGTGACTAGATGACACAAGTATAGTGAACGGTCATGGTGTCATATGAATAGAAACAAAGATGGATTCATTTGCTAAAAGAGGGACTGAAGCTGGATGATGGTGATTTGAAAATGAAATTCTTATTTTACTGGTAAGCTGTGCATGAAGTTTTGAAATTTCTTAGATCTCCAGCAGGAGACTATTGGAAAATAGAAACATAACGACATTTTATCAGCAGGAAGAAGAAAGCCTGGTACTTGAGGAATGTTCTGAGTGTTTACAGTTCTCTGCTAAGGCATGTTTTCATTGAAAGTAATGGGCAATTTGAAAAAAAAAAAAGATGGGAAGTGGTATGTAATTTAGTTACAGCCAAGGATTTATTTTACAGCAAGTCCCATTTCTCTTTTACTAAAGTATATACAATTAGAGGCCTGCTTGCTGTGGAAGCCCTTGTATAAATGAGCAAACAGGGATGAAAAAAACAGAGGGGATGTTGGTCTAACCTTTTCCCAGTCTTATTAAATTACGGGTTCTCTACATGAACTGCTTTAAACAGTGGTTTACACATCTAGTTCTTGAGGTGGATTAGTATTTTCCTTCTTTTATGTATAAATTGAGTTTATATATAAAAATGTATGGGAAATGAAATTTTCGTACCTCTAATAAGAAATTTTAAAGGCAAGAGTTTTTCCTGGTGTTTTCCTATAACTTCCTGTTTTCACCACACTGCCAGAAGAGCACGTGAGAAACACTTCTATCTTGTCTTCATCTGCCAAATGCAGCACCTTTGTCAAGCAGGGCTTGGTAAGGTTGGTGGTATAAAGGAAGGAACAAAGCTCCCATTCTGATTTCGACTCATTTAAAGGTAATGTTGGGGCCGGCAGAGTGGCGCGATGGTTAAGAACTCGCTTGGGATGCCAGAGGACCCCGGTTCGGATCCCACATATGAGGGCCAGTGACACTGCCCTCCACAGCTAAGATGCTGAACAACAGCTCGACCTGGAGCTGGGCTGCCGTGAGTCGCCGGTGACGGCGTGGGCTGCAGTCCCTGTGGCAGTGGGTTGCCATGGGCTACCGTGTGTGGCCAGCAGCCAGCGTGAGCAACCAGCAGCCGCAGTGAGCG